CATTATTTTTGGAAAGGTGCAGTCTGAAACAGCCTGCAGACAGAAGTGAAAGCCACCAGAGAGTACAATTTTGATGGAGGTGAGGAAAAAAAAAAAGCCAAGGTCTGAAAAACTCTGATTAATTTCAAGTATAAACAATGTAAGACATCACAGAACTTCACCTGAGTTCTTACAAGAATCGGCAGAGAATTCGGTTCTGGGAGAACACACAACATGCAACCATAAAAAAAACAAACCAAAAATTGTCTGCAAAGGAAAACCTGCCAGGTATCATACCAGCATGACGTTGGATACTCAACAAACACTCATCCTCTTATCAATGTACTCATTCAAGATCTCCTTGAGGTGTGCTGGTGAAAAGAACAATGAAGCCAAAGTGCCTGCTAATTTGCATGACTTTCAGCAATACCTAAGCCAGTTGTTCCAAGTTATATTTACAAGTAATTTAGTTAAACCAAGGTGAAAATCCCAGAGAAATATGATTTTAAATCCAGTTTATATAATCTTAGTCTACCTGGAACCTGACATTTGCAACCCGAGCCATTAAATCGACACATAAATCTATTCTAAATCAGTACAGACTCATCACCAAAACTCGCAGTTTATCAGTTTTCTACTAGTACTCTGCCTCTAACAGAGTCCGTAAACCACCACATCTTTTCTAAGAACAGAAAAAAACAGACCATGATATACTGACAATACTGAAGGGCAACATGCACACATGGGACAGAGAAAACATCTTATGATGTTTCCATATGATGTTTCCGATGATTCCACTTCTGGCATAAAGCTTTCACACACACATACCTGTGCCACAAACTGTATCACTGAACTTTCTGAAGAACTGAAAACTACTGAAGACTTCTGTTTGGCTATCTAGTTGCTCACTGTTAGTTCATCCTGAATTCAGTTACCAACAATGCCTTTTATTTTAAAATGCACAGTTTTATGCCACTCAAGGTGTCAGAAAGAAAACTTCCGTTACGACTGTGCCCTACTGTATCGCTGTCAAATGAGTAAGCCTGCTCTACCCCAGTTCAGACTCGTGAACTATTCAACCCTACAGCAAAGCATTTGCAGACTAATTTGTACTGAAGTTATAAAGCAGTTTACATTTTCTCCCTTGCTCTATCCAAATTTCTTGCTTTGACCTAATGTACATTTCAGCTTTACAGGTTCGACTCTCACATCTGGTGCAAACAAGATGACGTTCAATTGATGTCTGAGAAGTCTCCTCTTGAAAATGTGAAGCTAAAGAATGCTAAAGCTCTCTTTGTGCACTGTTAAGCACCAAACACAAAGTGTCTTGGCAGGATAATCTAAAATAGGTGTAGACAGCAACAGCAGAAGAGGTGGTATCTTGCATTTTTTCCTATAACATCTCTTATGACAGGAGAAAGGGCAACAAAACTATTGGTTACTTTTTTCCAATCGCAATAATCTCTTCTGCTTCAAGAAATCTTGTAACACGATCACAACTCAAGATACTGTGTTGTCATATTTCTAATACCCATTAGAGGGCCCAAATAACGTTTCTCAGTTTACAACTCCCATTCTAATAAACCTTGAAGTATTTTACTCCGCTTTGATTTAGACTGTTTTTCTTCCCCTGCGAAATAACTGATCAATGGATGAAAATAATACTCTCTTGCCTGAAGGCAGTTACCAAAGCAGTGAACACTCTGCACGTAGTCTTGGGGAACGGTAAACTAAAGGACAAGAAGCAATACTGAACATATCTAGGTTGAAATAAAACATTTAAGACATTCACGGCAAGACTGAAAAATAAGAATGTAGAAATATAAATCTGAGTCTGTTGGACTGCTGCTGCTGTTTCAGCAGCAAAACTTGCATTATAACTTGGAAAACCAGGCTGCCTCATGGACATATCACTGAACAACAGTCTCCATTTCAACAGCCTGAACAGTGGGTTCTTCTTGGATACCAGAGTTAGAGACTAATAATCAGGAAATCTAAAAACCAAGGAGAATTTGTAACACTTCCCACCTAAGCCTAAAAAAAAAAAAAAAAACATTGAAGAGAAAGAATCAGAGCAGGCCCTCTGAATAGATTTCCTGCAGAGGACCCAGAAGGCAAACAGATGAAATTATGAGACAAAGTAACTGAAAATCAATAACCACATTTCAAAAAAAGATGCAAGAAATAGGTAAGGAACAACCTGCTCATAACAAAGTTTCCTACTAAGTTCAGTTTGAGACTGAATTCTAGGCAGCATTTTACTTAACTCAATGCAAGTCTAAATAGTTAAGAACCACGTAAACATCTTCTATGAAATTCAACTAATTCAGCAACTATTGTTTGCAATAATTTCAAAAGAAAAGTTACACAGTATTATAAGTATTTCTTTTATGTCAGAGCACTGCAATTTGTTTCATCTAAAGATTCTTCAATTGACGTAAAGGTTACTTTGAAGAAGACATTGCAAATTATGGATTTATAATTGACGAGATATAAAATTATTGCATATTTATGATACAGTCATCTTTCTTGCTCTTCCATTTAGAGGAGTAGCACCAGAAAATGTGTCTTCAGAATCCCTATGGGTAGCAGAAGAAATAAAAAGAAGAAATAAAAGTCAGACACCTTCCCCCACCACATAATGATAATCTTACAAGTCCATCTAGTTTTGAAGGACTAGCAAAAAGGTGGATCCAGCAGTAAGTACACAGTAAGGCTGTGGAGTTTTTTACCATCATCTCCCATTGTGAAAGACAGGTACGTTCTCCTCATTCCTGGAAGCCATATACTTTCAAAACAAAACTACCTAACACATAAATCTTTGTAGTTTAGTGTTCAGGATTTTATGACAGTCATTTTTTCAATCATCTCCTTTTTCTACTTACACTGTGCTCCTGCTTTCTTTCCCATGTAAACACAACTTCCTAAGCCTGCATCTATTATTTTGTTTCATATACAAAAAAGCAGCAGCTACATAAGGGCAAGCATGTGACTAAGGAGTTAGAACCTGGGCCTGATTTTTCTTTAAAGTAACATCAGAAACTTTGACAGGGAAAGGAAAAACACAGGCACCCAAGAGTGATCATTCAGAAAGGGTGAACACACTCCACAAAACAGCAGACACTTCCCCAGAATAAATATCAGCCACAGTTTTTAACAGGCTGAAAGAGAACAGTAAGCACCTTTAAATTTTTTTAAAAATCCTTTAGATCATTGTATTTTAAAATCACTATTTAGGGATTTTACTGGTATATACATCTGCTCCCATGTTCCTGAGCAGATATAAGAACTGTGCTCCTGCCCAGGGGACTCTTCATCAGCAGGAATGTAACCGAACGTATGAAGTTGTGGGATGCAAGCTGCAGCCACCCTTCATTTCCTATCACAGCATAAAGATGTAAATAACATTTTTAAAGATCTACCACAGCAGTAGTATTTCCAACAAAGCTGCCTCTTAAAGACTTGGGGGTCCAGACACAACTCTAGGACTACAGTATCTCACATTATGCAGAGCTCCCAAGAGCACAGCTGAGGGGAAGGAAGAAAAAAATATGATGGGTTTATTATGGATATGCAATGCCAAGTCACTGAAGTAAAATCTGAGAGCTAATCTACAGAAAAGCAACAGAGAAGGCAGCTAAAAGCACTAGGAGATAGTTTAGCAATTATTGTGATCACTAGTACAAAGTGCAAGATCGGAAGGACAGACACAAAAAATAAAATAAAATAAATACATCCAAGATACTCAGAAAGTCCAAGCTCTCGTAGAACAGAAGCAAAGCATATTTCAAGATGTAAATTCCTGCCAAATATTTTTCGAAAACAAGCGAGCTCCCTGCAAAACACGCCCAGTGACCCCAGTCAAGCAGCACAACACAAGAAAGCTGCAACATCTGAAAAATGCTCCTCAACAACTTCAGGCAGAAGGGAACGCTCGTGTTAAAGGTGAAAACGTCTGGGCCACAATTCCTCAGGAACTGAAAGGAGTGAAGGTTCCACCCTTTACTATAGCGCTCAGCTTCCTACTCATTAACAGCCCTATAAAAATCTCATGCCGTTATCAACCTTTATTGCTTCTTTATGTATTTAGCGCTCATTTTACGTTCAGTCTCTCCTAGATTTTGTATTTCTCTTCCTACTCCGTCGCAGCGGTGTCCGTCACGCCTTCTCAGGCTTCAGACGCCAAACCCTCGCTCTGCTGAATCCCAGTTCCCCCGCTTGGGCTTCCCCTACACCCGACCGGCTTCTGCCTTCTCCGCACAACGACACACCTCTCACCGCTCCGAAGGACAGACCCCTACCGTGCCCCCAGACGACACCGAACCGCACCCC